TCTTTTTTCCTTCCTTATCGCACTGGCTAAGACCTCCAAAATAAGAGAATAGGAGTGATGAGAGCGAACATTCTTGCCCTATCCCAAACAGAGGGACAACATTCAGTCTTGCTCCAGTCAGTATGATGCTAGCTGTGGACTTTGTGTGGACACCTTTTATCAGGTTCAGTAAGTTCTCTTTTTATTTCTAGTACGAGTATTTATCATGAATAGATACTGAATTTTGTCAAATGCTTTTTTTGCATCCACTGATGTGACCATATGGTTTTTCTTCTTTAGATGGTTAGCATGGTTGACTGCATTAAAAGATTCTAAAGTATTAAAAAAATATTAAATTATTAAATCAGTCTTGTATTCCTGGACCAAATCCCACTTGGTCATAGTGTGCTGTTTTTTTTTTGTTTTTTTTTTTAAATATATTGCTGGATTCAATTTGCTAGTATTTTGTTTAAAATTTGTGCATCTATATTCATGAGAGACACTGTTCTGTAGTTTAATTTTCTTGTACAATTTTTATCTAGTTTTTGGTATCAAGGCCCTCATAAACTTAATTCTCTTCTACTTTCTGGAAGACATTGTGTAGAATTGGTATTATTTCTATTTTAAGGGTTGGAAGAATTTGCAATGAAGCAATCTATACCTGGAGATGGATTTGAGGCTGGCCTCCTGTTTTTGTAAATAAAATTTAATGGGGCACAGCCATATGCACTCATTTACCTACTGTTCCCCACAGTTTAAGTTGTCTTTGGGTCCCCATTGCTGCCACTGTTACTTTTGCTACTACTGTGGGGTTAACTGGGGGTTGGTGTATGAGAGAACAGAGAGAAATAGAAAAGAAAAAGGAATTTCCTCCATTCTCTCTGAGCATTAATTAGAACACCCTTTCCCCATTCCTTAAGTTAGAGTTAGAGGGCTCTGTTGGGAGTTCTTGCTGTGCTAATGCCCTCCTTTTGGGTTTCAGGCTGTCTGGAGTCCAGACCGGGGGATACTGGAAGCAAATAAATCATATATTTACCACCACTTCGGGGTACTCTGAATTCGGGTCTTCTCCAATTTATCTGCTATTATTTACTTTTCAGAGATGTCAAGTAGCTGTTCCATGCATTCTGGTATTGAAGTTGCATTCAGTGAAAGAGCTTATTTTCACTGCCATAAAAATCCTCTGTGCTCTACTCATTTGTATCCCTTGTCCCCGGTGACCACTGTTCTTTTCACTGTCTCCGTGGTTTTGCTTTTTTCAAAACGTCCTATAGGTGGAATCACACAGTAGGTAGCCTTTGCGGATTAGCTCCTTTCACTTAGTGATATGCATTTAAGATTCCTCCATATCATTTCATAGCTTGATAGTTTATTTCTTTTTAGCACTCAAAATATTCCATTGTGTGGGTGTGCAGACCATTCATTTTTAATATAGTTATTAATGTTGGAATTTAAGTCTACCATCATACCATTTGTTTTTTATTGGTCCACCTGGTTATGTTTGTATCTTCTTTTTTCTCAAAATTCCATTTTATCTTCACTACTAGCTTATTAGCTATATTTTGTGGCTTAATTTAAATTTTCAATCTGTTCCTCTGGCATTTACAATGTACATATTTAATTTATCATAATTTACCATTAAATTGCTTCATGTACCATGTAGGAACTTAATGTATTTCCATTTTCTCATTAATGTCTTTGATCACTGCCATACATTTTATGTCTCCATGTTTTTAAAATTATTTATTTTTTTTTTAGAAAGAAAGCAAGAGGGGGGAGAGGGGCAGAGGGAGAGGGAGGAAGAGAGAGACAGAAAAAGAATGAGAATCTTAAGCAGGCTCCATGCTCAGCGCAGAGCGTGATGTGGGGCTTGATCCCACGATCCTGGGATCATGACCTGAGCTGAAATCAAGAACTGAATGCTCGACTGAGCCACCCATGTGCCTCAGTCTATGTTTTGAAACCCATAGTACATTATTTTTGCTTTAAATAGTCAATTATCTTTTACCAAATTAAAAAAATGAGAAAACAAAGTCTTTCTGATTGATGAAAAGTCACTGATGAAAAGTTTTTGCCATGATGAATTTCATGTTGTGCAATGTCTGAGTTTTTTGTTTTCCTATGTTGCCATTAAAGTCACTTGGGTCCAGTTTTTTTCTTTTAAGGCTTGTTTTTAAGCTTTGTTAAGGAGCATGCAGGTTAGCCTTTATTCTAGGGACAGTTTATTTCCACTATGAAGCTATGGACTCCCCACTCTTGCTGGTTGAAAGTCAAAACCCTAAACAGCCTCCTGTAAACTTTGGGAACTGTCTGGTTCACAGCTGCCCCAGATGTTCTGCCTAACCTCAGGCATTTCATCCTACACATATACATCTTAGTACTCATCCAAAACAGAAGGGGACGTCATGTGTAGATTTCTGGAGCTCTTTTTCTGATTAATGTGTCCTTTTTAGTACTTGGCCCTGCAACTTCCAGCTTCTATTCATTGAGTACTACCACCAGAGGCTCAGCAGGGTTTAAAAAAAAAAAAAAAAAAGTGTTATATTTCTTTGTATAATTCTTCCTTTATACTTCCATAGCTGAAATGACCACATTTTCCTTACTTTGAAATTTCCCTTTCAAGACTTTCCTGGTTGTACTTTAAAAGGGGATTCTAATATTTTTGATGTATTGGCCCTACTATTTATTTAAATACAAGTACATATACAATAGCAGTGAAAGAAATATAGAATGTAGATGGTGCCAGAAGGAAACATTAAAATCACACACCTCCTTCATAGTATTCTAAAACAGCTGAAACAATTAGTCTAAGGATTACTAGGTAAAGCGTAGTTAGGATTTCAAAATTTCACTAGACATCAAATAATATTTTGTTATAATTAGGTAGGAGAAAATGAAATATTATCTTAAATCTCCTCTAAGATTAAAACATGAATGAATTAGTACTGTATTTAAAATTCTAGCATTAAGGGGTTCCCAGGTGGCTCAGTCAGTTAAGAGTCCGACTCTTGGTTTCAGCTGAGGTCATGATCTCACAGTTTGGGGGTTTGAGCCCCATGTTGGATTCTGCGCTGGCAGTGTGACACCTCCTTGGGAATCTCTCTGCCCCATTCCCACTTGTGCTGTCTCTCTCTCTCAAAATGAATAAATAAACTTAAAAAAAAAAATACAATTCTAGCACTGAAACAATAAAATGGTTACAGTAAAGAAGCAACATTTTCAAGTTTCCAAATATCATCCAAATACCAAAGGTATATAAAAACCAACCAACCAAACAAAAAGAAAATGCAATAAAATTTCATTTGTGCTTGCTTCACTTGCTTTGCTGTGTTCAAGCTTTTTGGAGAAAGAGAAAATGATACTATCAAGGTGTTAATTCCATATCATTGCGATCTTAAAGTGAAAACAGGGCAACAAGGTGCTGCTTTACTCTAATAGTGTTTATTTGCATCTACTAAATTCTATTTATGCATCAACAATGAAATCAAAGCTAGAAATGAATTTTATGAAATTGTATTTTAAACATACAGAGAACAATATAATGACCACCCGGGACCCAACACTCGGCTTTGCCAAATCTTACCATCCTCCCACAGTTCCCTCAATTTCTAAAAGGAATGATTCAGATATATGGCACCGAACCCTCTTTATAGCCTTCCCTGATCCTACTTCTACCTTTCCCCAGAAGTGACCACTCACTGAATTCCGTAGTTATCATTTTTAAGTGTTGCTTCTTACTTTTACTATGTGTGTGTATGTATAATTGTTTCACATGTTTTCAAGCTCCATATAAAGAGTGCATTGTAGGAATCCTGCAACTTCTTTTGTTTAAAGTTGCTTCTGACAGACACGCATATATGATTTATTACAGAGATTTTAGTGTATGTAACTACCATATTTATCTTCAGTTAATGGACATTAAGGTTGCCTCCAACTGTTCACTTCTACAAACCATACTGTTGTCAAGATACTTGTACACAGGTTGTGGGGGAGACCCTTCAGAATACATGCCTAGGGAAGAAAACTGGCTGTAGTGATGGATACTTATACATCTATACTTCACTTGATGGCAGCAAACTGTTCTCTAAAGTTGTACCAATCGTGACTATCAGCAGAAGAGTTTAAAAGTTCCATTTGGCTGCATTATTGTCAGCACTCAGCATTGTTAAATTTTATGTGTTTTTTCCTGTAGTGATGTTTAAAACACAGTCTTTTACATAGTTTTACCTGGCCTCTCCTGAGTTACTAGTGATGTTGAGTATCTTTTCATCAAAGTTAGTTGTACGTACAGCTCTGTATGTACAGTTAGTTGTACATTCAGTTGTACATTCAGCTCTGTACACGAAGTTAGAAGATAGTCAGGAAGGTTTCAGTGAAAGTGGGACAGGACAACTTATATGTAATGAGTAATTTAAATAAAAAAAAAGATTCTATAATCAAATTCGAACTTGTGGAGTTAAGGGTGTAGGTATATCAGAACTATAGGTGCTCATCTAAGTGAAAAATCAATGAGGTGTAAAACAAAAGAATGTAGAATTGGACCAGTCCTTGAACACTTTAAGATTTGAGCAGGTGATGACAGTGGAGAGCATTCTAAACATATATATTGAATACAATAACTACTGAATGGCATTCTCTTTAATTTATACTTCACCTCTGTTGGTGATACTTCTCTTTAGTCACTTTGGAAACGAAAATATTTTTAGTTATAGTTGCAACTTAGGAAATACTACTTATTGCTTAAAGAAACGTTTTCTGAATTATTTGTGGTACTCAAAAGCCACATAGTAAGTCACATACATTTTAAATGGTGGGAACTAGATTTAAATAAGAGTTTTCTTTAAATTACTACTTTAATGAAATAACATGCCATCTAAAATTCATGTAGCTCTGAGAACATCTTATCTTAGATCTGTTGTTACTTAAATACAGTGGGCACACAAAAAATTGTGCGGAATGAAGGGATATTGTTAACTTCAAAATGAATAAGACATTTCTCCCCTTTTACTATTACTTCTCACCTGCTTTCACTGAAAATGGATTTTCCAGTAGAAATACTGTTTGTTTCCAGTGTGTTTTGGCACTCTGGGGGCCCGTGGAGAACACAACCTGCATTGGTAGAGTTCAAAAGTACTGATGAAGTACAAGATTTTTAATATCATGCTACATTAATCTACGACATCAAATACAAGCTCCAATTGCTAACAACATCAAAATGCTTATGATCAAACACCTGGGGGCACAAAAATAAAATAAATGTATTTCACATAATTAATTCTTACGAGAAAACTCAGGATACTTACCCTCCTGTGACAATTCTTCTCAAAATATATATCGAAGTAGCCAGCAATTGCCTGTTTTTAAGAAAAGAGATATAAATAATTATTAAACTAATTACATGACGTAATAATTATTCAGTCTTTCAAGACTTGGCAAAAAGAGGGGGGCCTGGGTGGCTCAGCTGGTTGACCGTCCGACCCTTAACTTCAGCTCAGGTTGTGATCCCAGGGTAGCGGGAATGAGCCCTGTGTCAGGCTCCTCACTGAGCGTGGAGCCTGCTTGAGATTCTCTCTCCCGCTCTGTCCCCTCCTCCATTCACATACTCTTAAAAACAAACAAACAAACAAAACAAAACAAAACAAAACAAAACAAACAAACTTAGCAAAAGAATCCATTTCAAAGACTAGATACTTCTTAAACTTATGATAGGTCACTATTTTTCCCGTAAAAGAAGTTACATGTAAAAATAAAGTAACGTAATTTGACTTTTCCCCACAGAAACAATAAGAAGGGCAACAAGGCTAATCAAATAATCAACACATGTTTGATTACAGAAATGACTGTGGTAGACTACTGAAAGGTGAGAGATTACACGAAGGAAGAAGGCTCAATCGGCCCCTAGCTGACCCAACTGTCCCAAGGAGGCTGCTGAACAAGTTGAGCCATCTTGGACCCTTTTCGCTCCAGTCAAACCAGACAACTGCAGCAGCATGAGGGACCCGAGGAGGGGCCGGCAGAAGAAAGAGTAGATAAGTACAGTCTAGATTGCAGAATCATACACAAATAAATCCAAATGACTGTGATGTCAAGGCACTCAGTTTTAGGGTGGTTTGTTACACAGCAATAAATGTAATTTAAACATACTCTTTTATACAAAGATCTCATTTAATTTCTTCTGATCTTGTGCATCCAATCTTAAAGTACTATGACTTTTTATGATGAAATCAATGGAATTTTTAAATGTCACTTTTTTTTCTGATGATAAAACATGTAACAGTATTCAAGTAAAACTTATGTTTAAGCATATACCCAAAGGAGAACCTCTGAAATAACTCTAAGGGTTACTGCAATAGTATAAAGAGGTCTCTAAAAGATGATTATTCAGATAAATATATATTTTTCATTTCTTTTTATTTAAAATTTAAGTGATACCATTTGTTTTTCTTTCACTAATAGACCTAGCATAATCTATTTTTAAAACCGGCATTAAAAAAAGCTTATAAAGTGTTAAAAACAGGACACTGATTACTAAAAAATCACTAATAAAGATAATTTGTGTATCCTGCTGCTTTTGTTGAGAATGTGAAGTTAATTTATTGGTCTGTAAGGTTAATATGAACTGGGTCCAAAACCAGCTCACTATTCAAGGTTGAGGTTCATTATATTTTAGATACCAAGAGGGAATCAAAATACTATTTATAATTCTGTCAAATAGATATAAATAAAGCAATATGGTACTCAAATACAAGTTAGTATAGATGCAGTTAATCAGAACACATCTAAAACATAACTTTCTTCAGTTGATTTCCTCCACAGGTTAGTTCAAGTGTTTTCTTAAATTTATTCCTGTATGCCAGTCTTGTTCACCACTGTATCCTTAGTCCCTACAGCAGTGCCTGGCCCATAGTACACAGTAAATGTTTGCTGAGAGAATGTGCTTATTATACACAGTACTTACCATATTATAGTTAGTTGTCCTACCAGACTGCAAACCATTTAAGAGGAAAGCCTATGTGTAACTCATACTGCTGTGCCCCTTACCTAGAACAAGTGTGTTAGATAACAGGTTCTCAATAAATTTTAATTAAAATTTTCAGTCTTCAGTTTCCTAAATATAGCTAGTCTTCTTCTGTAGTTGGGACACTTTATGAAATCAATGAATAACTAAACTTAGAACTAATAATTTTAGACTCCAAAAAAAATGAAGAATGTGAGCTATGTATAGGGGAGGAGAGGATCCTCTAATTAATTCTATGCATGAACCTACAGAAGTTTCAACCTAACCTCTGAACTATGCAGGCTAGATCCAAATCAACATAACAAAGGCTGAGGGAATGGAACTAAAACCTGAATCACTAGCACAGGTCTCAGGATTAACTCTGAATAAAATGTGCATGGGAAAACCTTAAGTCAACAGGTAAAGATCTAGAGAACAAAACAAAGATTTGAAAAACCTGTACAAGTCAGACGATCCCTGAACAGCTTATGTGCAGGAGAGACCCAAAACAGCATAGCCAATGTTCAGAGAATAAAACTGAGATGTGAACCACCATCTACCCAGGCACTGTTGACAGAATTCATGTTTTGACTTTAACTGGTATGATTGCCTGCTTACACCAAACACTATTTTCCAGATGATTATAACATGACTAAGATTACACACAGCATAGCATGCACATCTAGAACATAATCCAAAATTACTCAACATACAAAGAACCAGGAAAATGTAGCTAACTTTCAAGAGAAAAGATGCCAACTCTGAGATGACCCTGAGTCCTAGGAGACAAAGATCTTAAGGAGGAATTGTAACTATGCTGTTTTGAGGAATAGAAACTATTATAGAAAACCACAAAATGAAGTGAAAACAGAATTCTGTAGTAAGAAATAGAACCCCCCCCCCCCCCAAAAAACCCAAACCTAATGGAAATTTTAGAATTAAAAAATGCAATAACTGAAACAAACTCCCTGGACTGAATTGCAGAATGGAGATTACAGAGGAAAAAAAAAAAAAAAATCAGTGAATTTGAGGACCGATCAATAGAAAGTATCTAATTTGAAAAACCAGAGGTGGGGGTGCCTGGGTGGTTCAGTTGGTTAAGTGTCCAACTCTTGATTCTGGCTCAGGTCATGATCTTGTGAGAGAATCCCAATTGGGATTCTCTCTCTCTCTCTCTCTCTCTCTCTCTCCCTCTGACCCTCCACTGCTCGTGTGCTTTCCCTCTCTCTGTCTCAAAAAAGGGAAAAAAAACGGGGGAAAAGATTAAAAAAAAATGCAAGAGCGTCAGGGACCCGTGTATCTAACATATATGTAATTGGAAATTCAGATTGAAAAGAAAAAAATATTGGAGCAGGAAAGACTTTTAAACATTCTTTATCTGGCAAAATTATCCTTCAGAAATGAAGGCAAAATAAACACATTTTCTAGTAAAGGAAAACTAAAAGAATTCATTGCCAAAGGAGTTTTCAGAAGACATGTTAAATAAGGCAGTTCTTCAGGCTAATGAGCAACAGTACGGGGAGGAAACCTGAAACATCAAAAATAACAGAAAAGCAATAGAAATGATAAATTGCTGGGTAAATACAAAAGACTACTTTTTCCCCCTGAATTCCTTTAAAATACTTATGATTATTTAAGGCAAAATTGTATCATCTGGTAGCATTTTTTCCATGTATGCTTATGTAATCAAAAAGACCAGGGCAGGGGGTTGGGGTTAGAAGGAGGAAGAGTAAAATTACACCAACATATATAAGTGTTTATAAAATCTGCAACTGAAGAAGGCTTTTTAAGCATCACACACAGGCAGAAACTAATATAATGGAAATTTAAAACTTTGGTATCAAAACCAAAATGAGATACTACCTTACATCTGTCAAAACTGCTAGAATAAAAAACACAAGAAATAGTAAGTGTTGATGGCAGTGTGAAGAAAAAGGAACCCTTGTGCTCTGTTGGTGGGAATGTAAACTAGTGCAGACACTGTGGAAAACAATACGGAAGTTCTTCAAAAAGTTAAAAATAGAAATACTATGTGATTCAGTAATTCCACTACTGGGTATTTACCCATGAAAACAAAATATTAATTTGAAAAGATATATGCACCTGTGGTTACTGCAGCATTATTTACAATAGCCAAGATATGGAAGGAACCTAAAATGTCCATCAACAGATGAATGGATAAAAAGGATGTGTATATTTACAACAGAATATTACTCTGCCATAAAAAAGAATGAAATCTAGGGGCGCCTGGGTGGCTTAATCAGGTTAGATGTCCAACTTTTGATTTCGGCTTGGGTCATGATCTCACAGTTCGTGGGTTTAAGGCCAATGTCAGGCTCCATGCTGACCATGTGGAACCTGCTTGGGATTCTCTCTCTCCCTCTCTCTCTCTGCCCCACACCCTACCACGTGCTCTGTCTTTCTCAAAATAAA